TCTCACTTCAGTTCTGTCTTGATTTTATTTGGATTTGAACTTCTTAGAAGTCGTTTATGTTTTGTTCAGGTCCTCTGCACATGTTCAATCAAGTTCAAAAGTCCACTGCTCTTTCTTGTTTGGTCCAAACATTTGGTTCTGAGTTCTTTTATGTTAATTTGGTCCAATCAAGCTCACAAGTCCACCATTGTTCTTTGAGTTCAATCAAGTACAGGTACGATTTCACCCGAAATTTCGGCAGCCTCCCGGCGTCTCCCCCGTTTAGGGGAAAACTACGGAAAACTGGGCCTTTCCCACCACCCAAGGCGATACGAACTTCAAAGAAGGAATTAGGTGATTACCCGCTTCGTCGCAAGCGTCGGGACGCACTCCCTCCCACCACGCTAAGAAAAGCGTGTATAGGTGGTCGTTTTGTCTCGACACATGCGATGAAATCAGGTTCTCGGAGTTTTAGAGTTTAGAAATTTTATACCTGCGCGGGGTGCGTAGATGTCGGCACGAGGATCGAGGGAGAGAAGCATTTTTCTTTATCATTATTGATCATAATTAATTATGATTAATTATACTTAAGCATAATCAATTATATTTATCAATTGTAATTAGTAATAATTAATTACAATTAATAATTAACCATAGCTAATTATGATTTCTGAGTTTAGAAAATTCGTACCTTCGCGGGCTTTGTCGGCGATGTCGGCCCGAGGCTCGAGGGATGAGAGAGTAGCATTTTTTTTTTTAAATAATTATAATTAATATTAATTATAACTAATTATCAATTAATTATAATCTATAATTAATAATTAATTATTAATTAATTATAATCAGTTAATTAATTATAATTATAATTAAATAATGATTGATTATAATTAATCAATATTAATTATAATTAACCAGATAATTATAATTTATAATTAATAACTAATACTTAATTAATTATAATTAATCAATTAATTATAAATATGATTAAATAATAATTAAAAATAATTAGTAATTATTATAATTATAATAATAAGAAAAAAGAACTCTTCTTTTTTTATTTATTTATGGGATTTGGCCGAGAAGCACAAAAGGGAGAGAGTTACCTTCACAACCCGTGAGCTCCTGTTCTTGTTTCGGATCAGAGGAGGGAGGCGAAGGCAGGGTTGGGTGGATCGGTCAAGGTAAGAGCCTCTCTCTCTCTCTCTCTCTCTCTCTCTCTCTCTCTCTCTCTCTCTCTCTCTCTTTACGAGATGGAGGAACCGAGAGGTAAGGCGTCGGCTGGAGTCGAGCAGGAGTTCGTGGATGGAAGAGGTGGAGAGGCAGTGGAACTTGGCTTTTGTTTGGCTATGGAGATCGGTCGGGAGAGAGCAGGAGGTCGGGATTGAGAGGAGATGCGAAGTCGGAGGTTGGGTCGTCGCTAGCGGCTTGTTGGAGATCGGAGGAGGCGACGTGATGCTTGCGGGTAGCGAATGGGAGAGAGGAGTTCGGGAAGCAGAGGTGGAAGAGCTCGGGAGGAGTTGAGAGAAGCAGTGTATGGGAGGAGTTTCGGATGTCTTCACAGCCGCAAGCTCCAGTTGTTGCTTCCGATCCAAAAGTCGTGCCTTCCGATCGGGTGGAAGGGAAAGTCGGAGGAGCTGCAAAGTCGAACAGAGACGAGAGAGGGAGCGTGAGCGGGAGTAAGAGAGAGCTCGGGATCAAGTAAGTGCCGAAGCTCTCATTTGGGTCGGTATTTAACGACTCCGAGAGAGGCGCGATCGAGGCAGTTTCACGCGATTTACGGGATCTGATCGCAAACGGCGCCGAATTGGCAGGGAATTAGCGAGATTTGAGCGAAATTCCTGGAGAAGTTCGGCATGTTTCGTGGATCCAACGGTTACAACAGGTACGCATTCGTTTCATTTCCTTTTGGATATTATATGGAGGTTAACAATGGTCTATCAATTATGATTGATTATGCGTGTGATTTTATACATTACATTATATAGTCGTATTAGATAACCTTACACTCTAAGATGTCCAAAAACACATTAAGTATTAGAGCTTAAGATTGCATCATTATATTAACAAGAAGAATATTGTGAATATCATGAGTTTCAAAAGTAAATTCAATAATCGATGGGAGGTATAATCTTAGGGAATTTCTAAATTTGATTGATAATTTATAAGATTTTTTTTCATATTACAATAAGGTTGATTTTCAAAGATTTGAATATTCTACATCAAAACTAGCAGGACATGATCAATCATTTTGGTAGAGTACAAGTTCTAACATAAAATATAAAATTAAAAAGAAAAACTTGTTATTCATAGAATATAGTGGCCAAATACATGATTAATTAAAGAATTGTAAATAAAGTGGCTATGAGGTGTTTGAGTATTATGTAATGTTTAAAGGACTTGCAGCTAAATGTCATTTGCCTCAAGTCTATTATTCTAACTCTTTTTATTTCATTAAAAGCCTTAGGCAAGAAACTAAGCTAGAATACTCCAAAAATTAGATAAGGCATAATGCAAAACTTTTGAGAGTGAGGAATATTATACGTGTTCGTTATCCCTAAGAAAACCTCATTATCATCTTCTCTATAACCTGTAAAATACAAATAAACACAAGAACCGTGTATAGTTGAATATGATCTTATTAAAGAAATCATATTTCATGAACACGCTTTCAATAATATATTTGATATAGATGATAATTTATAGTTCAGTATGAATCTACATTTGATTTTGTTGAATCTGAATATGCAATTATATTATAACACGTCCATGAATCTAAACCTATATTTGAATAGAAGTCAAAATTTGAGTTTGAAAATGAAACTAATAAACTCTTAACCTGACCTCTAAAAGAAGTTGCATCTATTTTTTAATGTAAAATTAAACAAATCAATCTACTATAGTTGATGATTCAATAAAGTAATCTCACAGCGCATCTCTAAATAAATTATCTAGTAAAATTATCCTGTTGACTAATCAGATAGAGAATGACATTACTTCTTTGTGCTTAATTTCTTTATATACTAATTCATTAAAAAAAAAAATTGACAAAGAAAGTTAAGTTGCATCAATATTTTACAAATTTACTAATGATAAAAGCCTTAAAACAATTTAAAATTTCATCTATAAGATCAAATCTAAAACTCATCAAGAATAATAGTTCAAGTCATTTGGGTTAATATTTTTTAAAGAAGTCCTTCTTCCATATAGACATATCATATTTATAAGGTTAGTTTATTTTTAAGTTATTCATCATCTTCTAGTATCTTCATTAGCATTTATAGAAAATTATTTTAGTGTTTCAGTATTCTAAAGGAAACAAATCATTCGCCTATATAATCTTATCACATTAAATTATTGTTTGAGGTAAATTATGTGTGCTTTTGATTGTTACTTAGAAAGGATGATTATTTATTTTATTTAATAGTTTGTGAACTGTGAAATTAATTCCGTATAAAAATTTTGTACATTACATCATATAACCAACAACCATAGATCGTAGGATGTCCTACAGCATATCCCAATATGATTCCCCTTTTATTGCATCTATAGAGGATGAATAGTAATACTAAATATACTATTATTCATGTTATGCTTCAATAGGAAAAACTTTTGTGTGGCAATTTTCATCAAAATGCTTTATCATTAACAATGGAGCTAATTGATAATCGGGAGGAACAAGTGGACGCATAACAATGACAAAACTAAGAAAGCGGAAGAAAAATACTGAAAAAATGATGAACAAGTTACGACTAAAAGTATTACATCATCAGGATAATGATTCAAGAAGTACATTTAAAGATTGAGAATAATGAAAATAATTAGCAGAAAAAAAATTGTTCAAGGATACAATTGAGATTTTGTTATTGATGGGACTTATTTCGAACATAACACAAAGAATTAATTGTGATGAACAACTTCTTACTACCTGAATATTAGATCTTAATCTTTGAAGAAGCTGAGAAAGTAGAGACTGTGTTGTCTGCTTCACTTCCACTGCTAGCGCCTGGATGACTGGTATACTTGATTCCAAATATGAAATGTTTGTTATTATTTTTTTTGACAGAATGCATTAAAGCAATTTATTCAAAATGTTTGTTATTATAAGGAATAATATGGAGCTAAAAATACTGGAATTCCAATGGAAACATATGTTACTTGTCAAAACCTACATCAGAAAAAATAGGCAAACCAAATGTGCAAGGCTCACACCTCTATGGTTTTTGGGGATGTGCTGATGCGTGCATCCTTACCTCTAAATAATAAAGAGGTTATATTTGAATTTAAAACTGTGACCTTCCAGATCACAAATCCGCAACCTAATCGTTTCTATAGGCCATCACTCTAAGCTTTTGCATTCACTATCAAAGAAAATTAAACAAGATAAAAAATGGGTCAGGAGACAAAATAACTTACTTGGAATGCATTTTTGCTAGCTTGCAAACAAAAGCTTCCAAATCAAGAGCCTCGTCATAATTCCCATTCCTTACGCATCTGAAATCCAATTTGAGAACTGAGAACCAGTCAAAACAACGTCGTTTCATGGAGCACAGGAAATCACTTAACAATAAGAGAGGCAAATTAAAAGTAAAACAATAACGAACAACCAAAACTATAAAATACAAGTAAACAAAAAAGTTAGTTTCAAGGGAAAATGATTATCTACGTATGCATATTATAAAAATGAAAACCTTAGAAACAAATCCAAAATAAATGATACTAAAAACATAAAGCAAATAGCCAAATACTAAACACCACGAACCTCACAACTAATATGAGAATTAGATATATCATAAACCATCAAAGACTTAATAGGGCAATATGTCCATCAAAGTTCAGCGTCACAAAGTAAGAAGGGCAATAAAACAGGTATGAACAAACGTACATACAAAAAATAAATCTCTATTTATCTGTGGCGATTAGCAGTATCAGTTATTGGAAAACAATGTTTATGTAAAGTGTTGTTACAACAACAACAAACAACATCATTATCAAGACTTTATCCCACTACATGAATCCTTTTTCTCCATTGTGTCCTATTAAAAATCAAATTAGCATTTAAATATAATAAAAAAATATCATTTCTGAAATTTTCTAACCAAGTCTTTTTAGGTCTGCCTCTATCTTTCTTAACTTAAGTCAAATCTAATACATTTACTCTCCTAATCAACGTTTTATGTGTCCAATCCATCTAAAAGAACTCTCTCTAATCTTATCTGCCACTGGAGCTACTCCAACCTTTTCACTTATATAACTGTTTAGCATTCTATCTCTAAGAGTAAAGTCACTCATCCACTTGAGCATCCCATCTTTGCAACATTTAACTTCATTTTATAATTCTCTTTTAATGACCAACATTCTGCGCCATAAAGCAATGTAAGTCCCAACACCATCCTATAGAAGTTTCACCTAAGTTTGAGGGGTACTTTTTTGTCACACAACAGGCCCGATGCATTCCTCTACTTCAAACACCCAACTTGAATTCTATTAATAATATTCCTATCTATTTCACCATCACTTTGAACAATAGACCTGAGATATCTAAAACATGTATTCTTATTAATGACTTGATTGCCCAAATTCATAATCACCCCACTAAATCTATAACTACTAAAATTACACTCAATGTATTCAATTTTAGATCTACCCAAACAAAAACCTTTAGACTCTAAGGTTGACCTCCATAATTCAAGTTTTCCTACAACTCCCTCTCTAGTCTTATCAATAAGAAGAATATCATCAGCAAAAAGCATACACCAATGTATACCCTCCAACAAATGTTTGGTAAGAACATCAATGACTAAAGCAAAAATATACGGGCTTAAAAGATGATCCTTGATGTAATCCAACTGAAATAGGAAAACACTTGATTAAACCACCTTATGTTTGAACACAAGTAACAGCTCCCGCATACATATCTTTAAGGAATTGAATATAAGCATTATTAATTCATTTGTTTTCTAAAGCTCTCCATACCATATCTCTTGGAACTTTATCATATGCATTCTCAAAATCAATAAATATCATATGTAGATGCTCCTTATTCTCTCTATACTTCTCCATCAAACCTCTCAATAAATATAAAGCTTCCATAGTAGACCTACCCGGCATGAATCAAATTAATTTTGAGAAACATCAGTATCACGTCGTAACATATGCTCAATAACTCTATCTTATAGTTTTAATATAAGACACATTAACTAATTCCTCTATAATTCGAACACTCTTGTGCATCACATTTATTCTTAAAAAGGGGAATCAACACGCTCTTTCTTCACTCATCTGACATCTTTTTAGTCTTCAAAATAATATTGAAAAGTTTTATAAACCAAAAAATTCCTTCATCTGCAAAGCATATCCATACCTATGTTAGAATATCATTTGGTTCAACGGATTTTTCAAACTTTATTTTTTAAAAGTCTCTTAAACTTTGATTTTATTAATACGACAATAAAAATAAATACCTCTATTTTCATTTAGGGGTTTACTATCATTAAAATTAATCACATTCTCACTATCTTCATTGAAAAATTTATTAAAATATTTCATTCACCTTTGTTGAATACCCTCTTCTAATAGAAATATTTTTTGATCTTCATCCTTAATATGCTTCACTTGAACTAATCCTTACTTCTCCTATCTCTTTATTTGGTTAACTTATATATACACCTTTCACTATCCTTAGTAGCTAATCTATTATAAAAATCATTAAAAGCTAAATTTTTTGCATCGCATATTGCTTTATTAGACTCCTTATAAGGCCCTTTATATCTATCTCAGTTTTTCGAGTTTTTACATCTAAATCAATTTTTATAACAAAGCTTCTTACTTTTATCTTTTCTTGCACATTTTAATTCCATAATCTATTTTTACTATTAGGTGTTTTTCCTTTTGATATTCCAAGCACATCATTTGGAACAGTCTTAATATCATTAGCTATGTTATTCACATAACATTAGTTATTTAGCTTCCTCATACACAGTCAAAATCTTAAAATCTTGAAGTTTATTCTCAAAAATATTTTTATTAGTGCTTTTTAAATGCCCTCATCTAATCCTAGGACAACATTTTACTTTATTTTTGATATTATACCAATTCATCTTAAAGTTCAAAACTAATAAGTGATGCTAGGTACATAAATTTTCACTCCAAATAACTTGATAATTTTGCAATCTAAAAAATCTAATAAGTATAAAATTAAAATAAACGTTCCTAATATTCTACTGCCATACCCATGAAAAAAAAAATAATCTTCTACATCAATTATCTCTTAAAGGAAAGACACATAATCACAAGTCAACTAACACATTTATAAAAACAAGCATATTTGCATAAACACCCTACATGATTCATCTCCCAGTTGGATTTCATTTTACTCAAACAAATTGTATATAGGACTTCAAGTACTTCATTTGGCATGCAAAAAAGTAAAAAAATTTCCTATTTGACTATCAGTCTATTCTTTTTACAGAAATAGTCTCACAAGATTTTTCCATAATGAAAATGCCAACTCTTTTGTTCAGTAAATTGTTATAAGTTTAAACACTATAAGTTCGGATTCAGTCCTCGAAAAAGAAATGCACAGTACCACTAAATCAAACGAGAATTAGTGAAAATAAAAGAAGATAAATCACTAACAGGTTATATTCATGATAATATAAATTTAGTGAATGCAAAACACTGAACCTTACATTATACCAATGCGGCTGATATTACACTCACAGGGAATGCATAAAGCATAGGTTTAAAAAAATTTTAAGGCTAAATGGCACGCAATTCTTCAAGATATAAACGCATACACATCAAACCGCATTTTTAAAAACCTTTAATTTGAGTTACAGAGATATTAAAGATACTTCACTTTGGTCAAACCGTTAACAGAATTGTTAATATAACATAAAATGTCCAAAATGTTATGCTCTTTCTCAAATTATTTAGCAGAAAAAGGTTGAGAAAACATCCTTTGGCTCATATCCAACTTTTGCTTCTCTCCCTTTACTCTCTTTTATTGTATGGAAAACAAAATGGTGCCCCAGGTTCAGAAGACAGCAAAGGAGAAGGCGACCAAGAAGACCCGAACAGACAAGAAACTGATTAAAAAAAAAAGTCAAGCCAGAGATATATATGCTAACTAAGAAGGTAATCATTGGAGGCAATAAGAACAAGAGAAAAAAAGGCTGCAAAGCCTTGCAGCCGGAGATAGACGATGAATATTCTTTGTTTCTTATAGAGAAGATCTAGGCCGAGTATTTCTTGGAAGTTGTTTGAAATCCTAATGGTCTTTTCTTAAACACTAGCCAGCCCTATTCAAGTTGGGTATTTTTTGCGATAACAAAAAAAGAGAAATTGAAATTCATTCATGTGATTACATTTGATAGAAAATTTAACTCCATGAACACCCAAAATCTAACTCAGGAACCAACTTGTGCACTAAGGCACAGTGTGATGTGCTTCTTATATCTCAGGCATCTACTTGTAATTTTCCCAAAATTTACTGCAACAGAATATAATGTTGAGATCAATCTCTTATACATCATCAAGTAAGAGCCGTGAAAATATAAAGATAACCATTCAGCACCATGAACAGTATTCCTTTGACTCTGATCAATTTAGATGATGGAAATACTTACGTGTCCATTAGCTGGGGAATTTCAAGCAAGTCAAGCACAGTACTGTGGTTGGCTAACAATGTCTCATTAAGCTTTCTCTCTTCCAAAATTTGCTGAGCTAACTCAATGAACTCAGTGCAACCAGATGTAAGCTTAGGAATCTCAGTTGTCTGCAATAATGACAATTTTGCTCAGGTAGGGCACAAATCCTTCAACAATACCTACTATTGCGAGATATGAAAGATCATGATGCAGCTGCAAATCTTTCAGATAAATCATGATTCTAATCAATTCATTTACATGCATTCTAAGAAGAATTTCATTTTAGACAGACCAATGATTTGATACCACACAATATATAGGATAGGTATTTAACTAATTGCTCTTTAGTGCTGCTCCAGAAGGACGAACAAGTAGAAAATAACATATCAAAGGATGCCAAAGAGAACAATTAATTTGAGGATGTAACACTTTGGAGTTCTCTTCAATGACATAAGAAGTATGACAATGATGCAACAACAATAACATCAAGCCTTTTGTCTCACTACGTGGGTTTGAATACATGAATCTTTTTCTCAATTGTGTCTTGTTAAAAGTCAAAATTTTGTTTAAATCTAATAAAGAAATATCATTTCTAATATTTTCTAACCAAGTCTTTTTAGGTCTACCTCTATCTTTCTTAACCAAGTATAACAATGATGATTATATAAAAATTATTCGTAATTAATAAATGTTCAAATAAGAATTTAACAAGATTAACTTAAGAAATTATATCTTTAGATTTTCATGATAGAAGATACAAGCCTCAAACATATGCTCCGCATACATTATCAAGAATAAAAGAGGATAATTATGTCAAACATGACCACATACCAATTCATGACAACCACCAAATTTGTTGTAAGTCTGCAGGATGCCAATGATTACTCCTTGCTGAACCCCAATGGGGGGAAAGAAGAGTTTGTGTTAAGCATGCAAGCCCTTCAAATAGACAACCATAGCGATCAGAGGTTACCATGAATTGGTATGTTATAAAGACAAATTTAAAGTAGATTCCTAGGTTGTAGCTCAACGCAATTAGATAAAGCTGTAAGATGATAGAAGTAGTCACAACATTGTCTTCGTACTTTGTGGAGAAGAAAATGATCGAATTGGTCCCCTAACTTTTCTAAAGGGTCAAAATAGTAACCAACTACATAGAAATATCAATTTGGTACATTAACTCTTTAAATAGGACAAAATTAGTCCTTTCATGGGATCATTTAAGTTCATATTTAAGAAATCAAAGAACTAAAATGATATTTTTAAATAGTCAAAAGGCCATTTTGATAATTCGTAAAGAATTAGGAGACCATTTTTGTCCTCATCTCCTTTGTAGAGTAAGGAATAATAATCATATACGAAGATGAAGTCATTCAAATCAAATGAGCAAACCCTCTTTTTTTTTTGTGGAAGATGCTAAAGCAAAAAACCTTTTTTCCAAACATCATCTCATTTGAATCCTCTCCAGTTTACCAAGTTCACCTTTATTTTGGAAAACAGCAGCCTATCATTTATCATTTAGTAAGCTTAACGCCTTGACCGTTCAATATGAACACCATATGAGATGTGAAGCATCTTGCTTGACTATCGTTTACTAAGAGTGCATTGTCTGCTGTTGATGTAGGTCCAGCATGCTTTTCAGCAAATTATACATTATCTCCATAGAGCTTTTGCAGCATTCCTATCTAAGAAATCAGTTTTTCCCGAGAAGAACTATCCTAAACTTCAATAGAAGTTAACTAAAAGATAGGTAAAGATGATACTTCTTGCTTAGTGAGCTACTTTTGTGACCAAGAGAACTGGACTGCTCACCGTAGGTGTCCATCACACTGCTCATAGAGGCAAAGGTGGTGACAACACTCGATGAAAGAGAGTAAAGAGATAGCGACAGGGAACAAATCCAGCCAAACTGGATGTTAAAAAACAGGGAAGATTTGTCTGGGTGAAGAATCCATGGATGACCAATAGATCAGATCTAAAGAAGACAAGAGGGCAATTCTTCGATCTCCGATACTTAATTTGACAGAAAGAAATGAGAAAATTAGGTCTTCCTAGTGTGGAGATGGACCACAATATTTGATCTGGACACCGTTTAGCATGGGTGGATGGCATATGTCCACCCTTAAGATGGAGGTGAGAGAGGAGTCCCAAGGTGAGCTTTGGCAAAGGGTGGATCAACATAGGGCAGCCAACATGGGAGTGATGAGAGCCTGTTAGGTAAAGGAGGCTCTTTGTCCTCATCAACTTCAAAGCTCAAGACAACTTCCAGGAAGGCCAGGGGAGGCTCAGGCAGACTCAGAATAGATCTATGCATGTTGTTAGGTCTACAATACACTAAACAAATGATTTCTCTAACAGAAAGTTGCTAAGTCTATGGTATTATTCCCTAGATGCTTGCTTCAGCCTATAAAGTGCTTTCTTAAGCTTATAAACGTGATCAAGATATGCAGAATTCTCAAAACCTGGGGATGCTCGACATAAACTTCTTCTTATATTATACCATTAAAGAAAGCACTTTTAGCATCCATTTTGCATAAATTGAAATCTCTAAAATAAGCAAAGGTTAATAAAATGTCTATGGGAGGTCCTTTGGGCAAGGGGAGTGGACGACCGGAGGAGGGGGACAAGCCGAGCCATGGGGATCGGGTCGTGTGTGGTGGGTGGAAGAAAGGTGGGATTCCCACCCTAGATACATGGGAGAAACATAGAGGGATCACGACAACCGCTACACTGGGGGAAGAAAAACCTATTGGGATGGTGGAGATTTTAAAATAAGAAAGTTGAAAATGTGAATGATTGAGGAGAATACGAGCGAGAGTTTAATAAGTGATACACAAGCTCCGTATGAGGATAAATTGATCGACAAAGATGTGAATGAAGAGGGAAAAGAAATAAACTTGCAAAGCCAAGCTGATGGTGTTGATCAAAACCTAAGTGTTGTGCAAAATGATCCTGCCAAGACATCCACATTCCAAGAACATGTGTCTTCATAATCCAAAAATGAAGATTTGAAAGACACTGAAACCAAGCCAACATCTGAGAATGAAAGAAAACTAGTGAAAGCACCTTTGGATTCTACTGGAATGGGTATTTCTGAAGATGGAAATGTTGAGGTTGAGACATAAGATGCAGCTAATATAGAGTTCTCAAAGAACAAAGATGCCTCGAATTAATTAAGTTGGAAGATTCAAATGATGAATTTTAGATTTCGCCTGATGGAGCACACTTCATGTCTCATGAGTTAAGTGGATAAGGTGAAAATTCTGAGATGACAATGACTTATCATGAGAATTTTTTTCATAACATACCTCAGGTTGCCTGTATTCTAGGTGTTGAGTTCAAACGGAGTCTTCATGTATTAGTCAAGCAATTAGCATGACCACATCTTAAGCAGAAATGAAAGAAAATATTGCAATGCTACAAACTGAGTTTCTATCTTGTGATTCAACTGGTCAGCAAAACCATGAACAAGTAGACTGTTTTAAAGGAAGTAAAGTTGGGGATGGGAAGTTGGAGAATGCCATGGATAAGGCATTCCAAGGTGATGCAAATTTGATTGCTCTGAAAATTGCTATGAATTCCATTGAGTCTAGTAAAGATATTAATGGGAAAACATGTGGAGCTAGGGAATTCATGAGCAAGTCAGAAACTGTCAATCCTCACTAGATCATTGAATGGCTGGCAAAGGGTTTGAGAAAATTTGGAGAATTGACCGTTAAGAAGTGTTTGGAAGAGAGTATATATGTGGAATTTCTTCATGCAGAAAACCACAATGAGGTTCACACACCTAGGTCTTCTGAAATGCCAGCCAATTGTGTGTCACAAGATGCTCTTACTTGTACCATGGGACCTGAATATTATCATAGTTCTGAAGATACTATAGTCCAAAAGGAATCGGAGCTGGAATTGAGGCCTAAGGACAATGGTGTGTTGCTTACGAATTTTTTGTAAAATGGGAAGGTAAATCAAACATACATAACAGCTGAGTTTCGGAAGATCAGTTAAAAGTTCTAACAAAGAGAAAACTTGAGAATTATAAAGCGAAGTATGGAGTGGCAATCATAAATATATGTGAAGAACAATGGTTCCGACCACAAAGCATTATTTCTTTGATTGAACATGAAAATGGAGGAAAAGCTTTGGTTAAATGGTGTGGCCTTCCTTATGATGAGTCTACCTGTGTGAGATTTGATGAACCTTCCATTCAAAATGCTTCTCACCTTTTTTCTAAACTTAAATAGTTTGAATCTCATACTTCAGTGCTGACAGTGATTCAGCATTTTCAAATGCTGAAATCAATGTATCAATAAGCAATAGCCGAAACAAAAAGATCAGGAGAATCCTGGATGACACTGAGCTTGAGTAAGAAATAAAAGAAATAAAAGCAATAGAGAAGGGCTGGCAAGAATATCTAAGATTTATGCAAGCATAAGCTGCTAAGAAATCCTATGGCAAAACTCTAGCAAAAATTAACAGGAGCATTTCAGCAATTGAAACACTCAAAATGCTTGATGATCCAGGAAGACTTTTAGATGGATAATACATTCGTTCCACCTTCATGATAATGTGCAGTTTTGGGGAGGGAGTATTGATAATGTTGGGGAGCCCATAGCCAATAAGGGGGTCTGTATAGAAATTTCATAATCAAAAGAGAGTTGTTTCAGAAAGTTCCTAATCAAGTGGGGAGTTGTTTAGGAAAGTTTTCTAATTATATTTATGTTATTTAGGAAGTGTTTAATAGTTTAGGAAGGTTTCCTAAAATATATTTACTTGTTTAGGAATGTTTCCTAAATAATGTTTAATTATTTATGAATGTTTCATAAATTATGTTCATGTTGATTAGGAAGGTTCTATTTATTTAAAAAGGTTTCCTAAATTATATTTATGCTGATTAGGAAGGTTCTAATTGTGTTATGGTATTCTAGAGCTATTTAAGGGGGAGTTTGTCTATGGTTTAGGGAGGATATTGCTGAGTTTATTTTCCTAGTATTTATTATGAGTTCCTAGTGACGTCTAGGATTTTTGAGAGAGCTAATCTACCTCTAGAATAGTAGATCAATTGTATATTGATTTATTATTGAAGGAGAAAAAAAAATCAGCTCTATATTTGTATTGCTACGTTGTTCTT